GAACATAGGATTCTTGTATGACATTCCTCTTATTTCATCTTGAATATGTTATCCTATCATCTTACCTACTTATTTCTGTTGAGAAATTAGCTATTAATCTAACTGAAGCTCACTTGAAATTTAACTGATTTTTCACCATTAAATTGTTAATTTTACTGAGTTTTGGATCTACAAAATTTCACTGTTAATAAACAATTTAACCATGGTATCTGACAGGTTCCTAATACTAATTGTAATTAAGATATAAAACTATGTACTCATTATTGCAGTGATTTTTGCATAACTAAATTGATTCTTTAAAACATATTCACATAGATGACAGATTCATGTTATTAGATTCCTTATTAGGTGACTTTCAAACATAAGCTCAAAAAATTAAGATGTCATACATTTTATTATTTTATTTTATTTTTTCTTTAATTTATTGGGGTGACATTAGTTCACGAAACCATACAATTCGACAAAACATTACCTGCATACTGCATTGTGTGCCCATCACTCAAAGCAAAGTCTCTTTCCATTCCTATTTATCCCCCCTTTGCCTACCTCTACCTCCACCCACACCCTTTCCCTCCAGCTATCACCACACTGTTGTCAGTGTCTATGTGTTTTCTGTACACACACACACACACATAAACTTTTGTGTATGATTATTTAGTATAATATACAAATAAATAGTAAATAAGTTTAGTTGAGCATCATTTTATAACTAATAAAGGTTTTTTGCCTACTCTGCCCATTAGTAGGTACTAGGACTGAGTGCTATTGCCTTTTGGGGTCTTTGGGTTCATAAATCTCATCCCCACATTATTTCAAGGAGTTGTTAAAAAAAAACAGGATTTTGTAATGATATTAAGAAGCACTAAGAATAAATGGAATGAATTAATGCATGATTATATATGTGGTCAAATTACAAATAATGGACTGTGATGTTAAATTCCAACCACATCTTACTGGCAAGTCTTACCTGTGGCTGAGTAAATTGCCTTAGACATGGTCCTTTTGGAGCTTTCTCTATACCTCTGCCATTTAGTGGTCCTCAACTATGCTCCATTCGGATCTATATTTAAAAATGTTTTGTACCAGAAACAGTATTCTTTCCTAATCTTAATATTGTATTACTCACTGAGTCTTTTTACCACCATCTATCATTACTCATTGTTCATGACCCAGTTATTAGTGTAATCCTGAACATTTCTTTTAACCTTTCTGAACTTAGAATTCTCATTTATGACATATGAATCATGTGGTTTTTGCAAGAATTAAATGAGATTTTGCATGTTAAACATTTAACACATTACTTATTATATAATTGTTTATATATTTTCAAATAATTTATAATATATACAATAAGCATTTTGAATGCTTATTTGCCAGTCCTGTGTTAAATCTTTTATACATGAACACATGCTCTTATACTGCTCCCTTTACTGTTACTACATTGCTGTATTTCTATTTATACTTGGCTATTTCAGAGGGTTATATAATGCTACTACTGGGAATATGTTCTCCAATATACTTTCCAATGTAAGTTGCAGTGATCTCTTATTCAGAAATTGTTATTTTTCTTATATTGGTCTGATCTTTTAATTTCTAGGATAGAAACAAGACAATGTTTACAAAAGTCTTGCTTTTTATAGAAAGAAGCAGATTCCAGAAACAGTTGTTGGGAAATGACTGTTACATTCTATGCTCTTTACATATTTTAGCATACATTATCAACTGAATAAACTTATGTGAACACAGAGTCCATTCTTCAAACAGAGAAGTGGAAAGTAAGAGAGGTAAATTAACTTGCTCCAAAAAATCATGCAATTAAGAGGTAAAAGAAGCATTCATAGGTTTTGCTTCCAAAACCTCTATTTTTCCCACGACTCTGAGAACTTGTAGGAAGAGTAGAAGGCTGAAATCCACTCTCATGTCACAGTTGGCATGTAAATCTCATGACTACAGAATTTGGTTTTGTGTGATGCCCTATCCCCAGTGTCTGACACATGGTAGGCAGTCTTTGAATGTGGGTGAAACATTAGTGGCAACAATGAATTTGACATCTCACTCTTCAATTTACCTTTAATTTCCACTTCATAAAGTAGTAGCTGTAATACCCATTAACTTTTCTTTACAAGCTGCTGACACAAGTAGTTGATTTTTCCCCAACATTTGCTCTAGGGTCATTTCTTAAAATGACACAACATTCAAAGGATCACAAAGCAAAATAGATAAATAGATAGATAGATAGATAGATAGATTGCATATATTCTATAGCAGAAAAAAGATAAAGTTTCATTTAGGTGCTTTGTACTGCCTGATAGTGAAGCTCATTTCTAAGCAATTGCCTTTTCTTAATTAGGCTCATAGTAGATGCAAATTAAAATAATGCATCAGTGAAATACAAAATAATAGAAAATTGAGGACCTGCAAAGTTACTTGCAAATATCGATCTGTCCATTTTTGGTAACACAAAGTGTGTAACTGTCATTTGAAAAGACACATGGGTGCTGCATTGATTGTAATGGAGGAATTACTATGTATAACAGGTTTTGTAAGAAAGCAGTTACTATGGTAACTGTGGCCTCATATACTGTATTAAATGATAGAATTTATTTCAGTGTAATGCACAGTCTTTTCATGTGTCTCCTTTTCTAGGAGAAAATGAAGGCATGAAACATGGCTACACAAAGAAAATTATCCTACTTAGAAAGGAGTCCTCCCTTTGATATGTGGGATTGAAGTTTGAGAACCAGTATTTGCTGTAAATTGCCTTTGTTGGTAGCCTTTTGGAGACATTTGGTTAAAACATTCAATGTAAAAATCCAAATATATTCATTTCTGTGATCTGAATACAAATAAGAGACTGTGACATTAATGAGTGGTGTGCTTTTTCTAAAGGATCATGAAATTATAACCTATGGATTTTCAAATAAATTAAACTTTGCTACAACTGCTAATTAAATTGGTATTATTCAATTATCTTCTTTTTCCTATTTTTGAGCTTCCCTTAGAGATATTCAAATTCATAACTTTCACTGCAGAATGGTCACACAGCTTTTCTTCTAATTAGGTTATTAATAGCCAACTTGACTATTTTAAAACAAACGTTAAAGGGTACCTTTATCTCTATTTTCACTTTGAAGAAGAAAGTTTCTGTTTTCACAGAGTGAATGAACTTTTAAAATCCCAGATTCCAGTCAGCAGGTGCACATTATTCATAAATGATTGTCCATGGACCAAAACCTTATAATTATTCTGCTGAAAGACATTTTTGTCACTTGGTAAGAACAGAACAGATCAAGAGCATATCTCTTTCTGGTGTTTATGCCATCTGACATCTCGCAATATGTTTTGCCGACAGAAGGAGCTTTTCACAGAAAGGTGAAGCTTTCCTTTCTTAGTGGAATTTAAGTAAGAATAAAACACATCTCCGCTCTGATTTAGGCATCTGGAGTTTTAACCTGAGCCCTGCCACAGACAAGGACACGTTAAGCCATTTGCTTTATCATGTATTAGATTCACCACCTAAAACTGATATCCAAATATCTATTTCCTCTCCTCTAACTGAGATGATATGTACTGTAGTATGAGATTTACCCTCATAAAAATAGGCTTTCTGTTAAGTTTAAACTTTCTATTGGATTTAAATAGTACTGCATTATGCTGTTAATATGGATCATCATGAACCCCAAGAGAAAAACCTATAATTCTGAATTATTTAAAGTAATAAAAACTAAGCTCAGCACCATTTTTGCTGAGTCACCTCAGAAAAAGGTGGTGGGTGAGTTTTAAACCAGTAGGGAAAAATGCCAGTAGCACCATCTTGATCACACCTTATTGCCTTAGATTCTGCTAAATGGCTGCTTCATCTCTGCCTCTGAACAGTCTCCTGGATTGAAAGTTCAGGATAGAACCAGAGGGAAGACAGAGCTGCCTGAAACAGATGAAGCAGAACACATGGTCCTGTGTCCTCAGTCAAGCTCATATCCGTCACACTCTGTTCTTTTTCTGCATATGGACAGAGCACATAAAAGGGACATGCAGAGTCCCCATTCACGTCCATTTTTGCCTCTACCTTGTGAGACTGCAGTACCAAACTTTAAATTGCACCGTGCTAATCGACTCACCTCCATTCTAGCACCATCTTCGTTGGCCTGGCCCTTAGGGAAGTAGCCCAGGGACTGGCAGGTGGCTCAGGAAGGGCTGCAGATGTGCTCCAGGATTTTTTAAAAGTGCAGCTCTTTCTGCTGTCTGGTTTCTTTTTTTATTCTACAATGTCTGTAATTTTCAACCTATTCTCAGGATTTCATTTGACACTTGATTCAGCTACAGTAAGACTATCTGTTTGTAACTCTCCATATGTGACAAACTAGGGGTAAAGTAAGGCACTGAGAAGGCTCCCGCCAGCTCCACATCTCTCCCTTTTCCCTGAAGGACAAGTCTCAGGGTTGTGCACCCTCTCCCAATCTTGTTCTTCTGTGCAGGCTGCTGAGAGCCCTGCCCCTTCTCTGTGTTCTTCGTTGTCCCCAGGCTTTCTAACGACGCCAGTTGTCTCAGTGTCCTCTGGGTGAGGTGAGACAGAAGTAGATCGCTTGAGCGGTGCCCTTAATAACTGGGGATTTGAGGTGGACACTTCCTCCAGTCTTTCTCCCAAGAGAGAAGTTGGGGGCTGAATGGATCTCTCTCATCCTACAGCTGAGGCAGCTTGGGGCAGGGTCTAATTCTAAGAGATTCCATGGGTTTGTGCTTCTTTGAGGTATAAATTTTTAACTGCAATTAGGCGTTCTGGTAAAGGAGTTTTTAGCCCAATACTGTTCTTTCATGAGTGTTCCTGTTGCGGGAGATGATGGCTGAGACTTTCTCTTTTGCCATCTTGCTGATGTCACTCTTAAAACTTTCTAATTTATTTATTTGTTTACTGATTTCCTCATTTTCACCCCATCCCAGTACAAACTCCAAGAAATTAGGACACTGTTGTTCACTTCTGTATTCTCTTTGCCAGAAGAGAATCTGGCTTGTCATATGTTCTTAATAAATGTTGTTGAAAGATGGGATGCGCTGTCTTTGGAAATCATGTTATTTTTGTTGTCATGGAGTGCTTGCCCTTCACTTGTTGGAGAGGGCATAGAGCAGCGAGCTCTGAAAGGAAGATGAAGACCGAAACAAATCCTGGCCCCAAAGCATAGACTGACATTCTGTGATGTTTATAAAACAGATAAGTGAACAAAGGTAAGTAAACGAGAGAGAAGGTGAGTAGGGATATGCAGTAAACTTTCTGTTGCTTGGACATAGCTGCCAAGTATGCAGTTAGGGGTAACAGGTTATAAAATACTTTTAAAATGTGGTAGCAACAGCAGGTGCAATTCCATAATTATTAGATTACTTGGTTTATGGGACGACCTGATTTTTGGAGATAATATTCCTGTAAATGGGAAGATACAGCCACATTTATCACTGCTATTGCTTTGATTTTTTTTTTTTTTGGTAACTTAGATTTTTACTTGCTATATGGCTCCCAAGAGGCTATGAGTTCACAGGAGGCAGGCGAGACTATCAGAAACACAGATTCACATGATACTCAGTTATCAAAGTATGTACTCAGGCAACCTCTGTTTCAACTGCGTTGATTTAACATGTCTGACATTGCCTAGGTATTAACCCTGACAAGATGTTCGACCTGAATGTCTCATTAAGTTAATGATCAGAGCCATCCAAATTGCAAGAAATTCTTCAAAACTGCAGCTCTATAGTTTTCAAAATGTCAATATCATGAAAAACAAAAAGGGGGACACTGTTCTAGACAAAAGGAAATTAAGAGATGTGATGTCTAAAGGGAATCAATGAATAATATTTGATTGGATTCTTGACTGAAAGAAAAAGCAGCCTTAAAGATCCTTACTTGGATGATTACAGAAATCTGAATGAGGAAATTAGTATATAGGTAACATTGTCCTATTTATGTTAAATTTCTTGAGTATGATAATTATAATCTTTTTGTTAAGGAAACTGTCCTGCCAAATATTTAGGGGTAGAGTTTCAAGTGTCTGTACGTCTTCAAGTGAATCAAAATCTTCTATCTATAGCCAAATGGGCAGAGTAAGAGAAAGAATAGCCAATGTTAAAATGTGATTAATTGTGGTGAATAATATGGATATTTATTCCATATTCTTCCAATATTTTCATGATTGGGAATCATTTAAATAAAAAGTTTGGATAAGAAAGTAAATAAATGTAAAAAAATAAAAAATATTGTATTTTAAAGGTTTTATTTGTGTGTATACTTCGTTTTTTGTTTTTTAGAAAAGAGCAAAGAGGATTCACTCTACTTTGTAGACTAATGGTTCCAATACCTTGAAAATCTCCCAAATACAGTAAATTTCAAACCAGTATTTGATATCTTGATTATTTTAAGACATTATGAAATGTGAGAGAATGTGTCATATTTAGCAATAGAACAAGAGGGTTCTGTTTCTTTGGAATTTGTAGGACATACTTTGGGAATTATAATTCTTATTATGAATGTAACACATAAGGGATCAATTACATTTGGAACAAATACATTATGCAGGCTTTCTATCTGTAAAGGAGATTTTCCTGATGATTAAAAGCCATTGAAATTGTTATATGAATATACAGATTTAGATTTATATTAAATGTTTCCATTTAACATGTATAAACATGAGTCATATTTCCTGGAGTTTCACTTAACATTTTTAGGTCACTAGAAAGATATATTTTAATAGAGATTCCTTAAATAGAGTACATATATCCCTTTCTTAATATAAATTCCTCAAATGGAGGTATGCAGATTAAAGAGGTGTTTCATTTTTGAAAAGGCCAACTCTGAAAAAGTACATATTGAAGGACATGGTCTCATAGCCAGGCTATGAGCTCGTTGAGGTCTGGAACTCACTACTTTTTTTTTTCCCAGAGGCTTGGGAAGGGCCTACCACAGAAAAAGTACTTAATAAATATTGGGTGATTCACCTTGAAGTCAGTATTATTGTAATTACTGCCTTTTATAATTTAGTACAGATTTAATACAAGCAATAAATAAAAGAAATACTAAGAGATAAATGTAGACAACTTCTTGTAAAATATGAATTTATTTTCAAAACCTTTAAAAGACATCACTGAGAATATAGCAGCCAGAAAATAGAACGTTCATAGAGATGTTCTGGTAGGAACATTAGTTTGTCTATTGTTTAATTTACCTATTCAGCAAATAGTCATTAAATGCCCACAACATGAAAGGCACTATTAAAAGTTGTGGGAATAAAGCAGGACTTGGAAAAAATAAAATCCATGTATTTATAGGGGATTAAACAAACACATGAATTAAATTTTAAAAATATCAATAGGTGATGTGTTCTTGGGAGAGATGTAGGGAAGTTAATAGGAAACACTTGGGTGCGTGTGGAGTATGGGGAGTGTGGTCACAATTTTTAAAAGAGTTATCAGTAAATTTTCATTAAAAAAATGACATTTCAACCAAAACCTGAGGGTAATAATATAGAAGCCACGAAACACAAAGGCCCTGTGGTAGAGCAGCATCTGCCATGCTAGAGGGAAGATGAAGACGCCAGCTAACCTAGAGCAGAGACTACAGAAGTCTCCCCTGTCTGCAGTTTTGCTCTCCATGGTCTTGGTTCTTCATGGTCAACCATGGTCTGCAAATATTATATTAAAATTCCAGAAATATGCAATTCGTAATTTTTAAATTGTGTACCAGTCTGAGTCGTATGATGAAATCTTGCGCCATCCTGTGCCGTCCAGTCTGGGACATGAATCGTTACTTTGTCCAATGTATCCACTCACTCTACGCTCCCTGTTTGTTTGTTCCTTGGTAGCTATCTTGTTTATCAATCTGTGTTGTTATCACATTGCTTATGTTCAAGTAACCCTTATTTTATTTAATAGTGGCTGCAGTGATCCTGGAAATTTGGCTATGCTAAAAAGCGGCCAACTATTTCCTCTAAGTGAAAATGTATGTATTTATAGGAAATAACATAGCATATACAGTGTTTGGGTACTATCTGTGGTTTCAGGCATCTATTGGGGTCCTGGGACATATTCCCACAGGTAAGGAGGGACCACTGTAATAGGACACGGTGTTGGGGAGCTAGCTGGGTGAGGTGGAGGAAGGAAGTTGGGCAATCATATCGGCCCTCTGATGTGACTACTGCAGGGATTTTGGCTTTAAATACTTATCTGAGTTCTCAGTTTATATACAAAATTGATTAGAATAACTTCTCATTTTAATTCTTTCATTTAAAGGCAGTGATAGTAATGCAAAACTATGGACATTTAACAGTGCATGAAGAATAAAGTTCACAATAAATTTAAATAGGTTCAATTTTTCTATTGACAAATATTTTTATGACTAACTTAATTTCAAAGCAATGTCTGTTGCTATATAAATTGTAATAAAATTACCTTAAAAGTGTATCCATTTATTTCTTCTAATTTTTTTTGTATAATTGACAATAATTTTGTGCCAAAAAAGTAAATGAGATTCTTTTATAGTAATGTGTTTAGGAATGTCAGTGTGTAAAGAATCACACCTGACAAATCTGTGTTTATAAAACTATACCAATGACAAATATTTTTAGGACTTTGAAGAACTAATTATACTCAAATTATTATTACAATAATTAAAATATCCCTTACCTCAGTAATTTACACATGCTGCATTTAAAGTTGTGATTGATTTCTATTTACCTTATTTGTGTGGAGCGATAGTAATCTTGTATTATTCTTTTAATTTTGTTAGGTTTTATGTATACATTTATCTCTTCATTCCTTATGTCTTTCATTTGTACAGATTCCATTTTTTATCATTAAATGATCTACCAGTTTCCTATGTTATTGATTTTTTATTATTGTTTATAAGACAGTTTTTTCTAACATATCTTCTCTAATTTTATGATTTATAGTTATAATTTTATTAATCCCTTCTCTTCTGTTTTTCTTTATTTTGTTTGCCATTACTAACTTTGTTAGTCAGTTTAAACAGTTTGTGTTCATTCTTTTTTACTGGTACAAATGTAGAATACTGAATTTTTCAACTAAAATACCGTTTTAGTTTTTTTCATTTGTTTTGATATTTGTATTCTTACATTCTGAAACTTTGCTCTATAGTTCTTCTTTGAGTCAAAATTTATGTAAGAAATAGTTGTTAAGTTCCTTTTGAAGAGGGAGTTTATTTTATGATTTTGTCAATAAACTTTTGTTTTCTTGGTTCCTTCTTAGGAAGTAATTTCTGTGCTACTTTTGACTTCTTTTTAAATTTATTTAGATTTTCTTTGTGGCTCAGTATCAGGCCAATTTTCATGAGATTTTTGTGTACAGCATAGATAAAGTTTTTGTTTTGTTATCAACTTTAAAAATCTTTTTATCTTAATAAGAGAGTTAAATCATTGACATTTATTAACATGGATCATATTTAGTCATTTGTATTATTTTATATTTTATATGTTTATAATTATCAAAATAATTTGTCTTTGTGTCCATTTCTTTGCTCTGTGTTTGTAGGTGTGCATTTTGTTCTATTTTGAAGAGTTTATAATTCTGTTTTGAAAGCTTTCGTTATTTTTATTATTGTTCTTAATAATTATACCTTTATCTTAGGTGTCAAGTTTTTAAAGATAATCTTTATTAGCTCCCTACTATTAACAATGGTAAAATAGCATATTTCTCTTTCATTTTTTCCCTGTATCTCTCCCATAATAGTCTTTGACTATTTTTTCTATTGCTATGTCTACTTTGGGGCTTAGATTATATTTATGCTTCATTTTCTTTGTCAATATTGTACATAAATTATTTACTATAAAAAAGTAATTAGCTTACTTTCTCCCACTTCATTTTATTATTTTATAGACTCACTGTCCTTTACTGTTTTTCACAAAATGTGTTCTCTCCTTTGTGTTTTGCAATATTAACTTTGTTTTCATTATTTTTTTTCCTCTTACTGCTTTTTTCTGAGACTACCAGCTCTCATTTCATCTCCTCTTGTTATCATGACACCATTTTCTGAAGTTCTTGTGTTTCTGATCAGTGCTCTTCTTCAATAAACAATTTATTCATTAAAACATTTGAATTCTTGACAAAATAGTTGGCCATCAATTTTTAACTACTCCATGGCAATATATATATTTTGTTCAGTAGCTTTTCATCAATTGCTAATTTACTGCTGTCTTCCTGTTTTTGATATGTATTATGGATGTTGT